CCCACCTGCCTGCAACCTGCCCGGGACCTTCTCCTCACAGCAGACGGGCTCAGTCCGAGTCGGAATGGAGCACATACAGGACAGGGCACAGCTCTTTCTGGAGAGTACTGGTCAATTTTCCTCCGTCCAGTTTTTATTTGGTGATGCTAAACAGACCCCGTGCATTACTGTGAGGATGGAGGGAGAAATTGCAATAAAGGCTCGGCTGTCCCCGCCCCAGCCTCCCCTTCTCTCTCCCAGTTAAGCAGCTCCTTGGGCTTTGATCCTTGATCCTGTGCTGACTCCGGCTGCATGGCCATGCTTCCCCGTCTCCTCACAAACGCTCTGCTCCAGCCACTCTCCAAACGCTCTTTCACTTTTCCACTTCTGTATCTGTCCTGACACCAGTCTGCGCAGAGGACCTTACCGTTGGACGCCGCTGCCCACGGGCCTCTATGCTGCTCGGGATCCAGTTTCGGGGCCCCTTCTTGGTGTGAGGGAGCAGGGAGTGGGGCCGGGAAGGGGGAGGCTAACAGAGGGTGTGCATGGAGGAGGTTACACCGTGGACAACGGCGGGGGTTAGGGTTGCCCCAGGGAGCAGAGCCAGAGGCCAGTGCTCCTGTGCAACGACTTTATCAAGAAGTGCAAATCCAGGAAAGCAGGAGCAGTGACAAAAGGGAGCCAGGCAGGAGAGAAAGCAGCACTAATANTGGGGAGCAGGGCCAGAGGCCAGTGCTCCTGTGCTAGGACTTTATCAAGAAGTGCAAATCCAGGAAAGCAGGAGCAGTGACAAAAGGGAGCCAGGCAGGAGAGAAAGCAGCACTAATACGAGGTAAGTTTTGAAGCTGGCTGCCAGGAGTGCCAACTGATTGCTTCAGCTCCCAGGATATCCTCCAGGAGGCTGTATAAACTGTGCGTCTCAGGCCGCTCCACCAACAGATGTAAGGAGAAGAATCCATCTAGCTCCTTTCTCCCATCATCAAAGGTTCACCTGACAGGGACTCAGGCCTGCTGCACATCCACAGGGCACGTGGGTGGCCACTGAGAGCCGCAGAGCTTCGAGGCCAGGGCAGTGGGCGACGGAGGTGTGGCTTTGCGTGGGGGGCGCTGTGTGTGGTGCCTGAGGTTGGTCTGAATCTCCTCTGTGGCTGGCACTGGGACGAAAGAGACTGGAGGAAAGTGAGGACAGGAGGACCTGAGGGGCTGATTGAATGTGTGCCTGATTCACCAACCTGCAGAAACTCCCTGGTGATGACCGTATCCTCACGTGGACCCACATATCATGCCAAGAAAATTTTCCGAAGAGTGTGAAGCATCACCACGGTGTCTTACAAATGAAAATCCCCTACCCACTGTGAAAGTCTGGCACATCAAGCTAAAAATCAAAGAAAGCTGAGTGGATAGAGGTACTTTTTCCCCCAATGCCTGATCTAGTTGAAAAAGGGTGTTGGAGGAGCTGGAGACGTACTGGAAGAAGGAAAAGCAGCTGAGTGAAGCAGGTCTCAATGAGCTCAGTGAGGAGGCCTTGTTACTGTCGGTGAGCTTAAGGAAAGGGGCTCTCTGGTTCACTCAGGAGAGATTCTATAAAGAATGTTTAGCTGTTTCAATTTGTTTTCACTTGTCAACTCTGAGACAAATTACTAATGTATACATAGTTTTATATATGTTTATGAATTTACATTAAAGCAGAGGGAACACTCACAAGGACTCTATAGGTGCCGTACTGGAAGGGAGGGGACATACACAAAGGAGCGTGTTTAGCCGTTGGAACAACAGGAGTAGCAGGAATATGCAAGCCTGAACCGACATGGTTTAAAGGAGGAGAGAGGAACTGCGCATGGCTTCGATTTCTTTATAGTCACCAGCTCTATATTTATTATTTTAACCTGGATACCACTGAATATGTTATGAGCAGATATTGATAAAAAGGTAGGTGACACTTTTTCTAAAATCATGCAGTATTATTTCAAAAGGAATTATTTTACCTTAAAGAAAATATTTAAAGTGTTACTATTTCTTAAGAAGCATTCCCATTTAAATTCTGCACCCTATGAAGAAGTTCAGTCATTGAATTGTTCCAAATATGCATAAAATGATCTAAAAGTTTAAAATTAATATATAGCATAAATATGTTATTAAAATGCACGAAAGGGTTATGGAGCAGAAGAAATATAATGAATATAATAATGAAGATAGAGCAACCTTTGTTTTAAACAATGAATACATTTCGATTTCTGGCTTAACTGCTGTGTAAACTGCTACAGAAACCAGTCTATGTAATCATATCACTGGGCATATTCTTGAAGATCCAGTGCTTGGTTATAGTCAGCCATAGCTCCCTCAATCGCACCTATTTTACCACGAACTTCTGCTCTAAGATTATATACCAGAGCATCATTAGGCTTCAAAGACAGAGCTGTAAAAGAAAAAAAATTTCAAAAGATGTTTTATGCTAACACTCAAAAGGTCTCATTTTTTTAAAATAAAAATTTTATAATATAACAGCTTTAGTATTACTTGTTTGAAAACATTTTTCTTCATATGCACCTATTTAGCTAAATTGAAAATATTAAATATTTCTAAGAAAATTAAATTGAGGAAACATAGTACAATGTCTTTCTTTGAAAGGCTAGCAATGCTTGTGTATAGTTTTCCTAATAAATTTTCTGTATCTTAGCTGACCAATGCTGTAAGTTATTGCATAAAGGAACCCATACTGATTACATTAAAGATGTGATATAAAAAACATTCATTCTAATGTAAGCTTTTCTAGACAAATGGACCTGATGGGATTATTCTTTTATTATTTAAAAACAAACACATCAACCACTGTAATTTTACCCAAAACATTACAAAAAAATAAATACCTTTACTTAGGTCTTCCTCAGCTAGTTCATATTGCTTTAAACAACAGTAGAACTGTGCTCTGTTCAAATATACTGCAGCCCAAAAGGGACAGCTCTTAACCACATTTGCAAAATCTTCTTCTGCTTCTTCAAACTTCTTTAGTATCGTATTTGCAATAGCTCGATTCATGGCAGCACATTCATTCTCTGGATCAAACTTTAAAGCCTTTGAAAAGTAGTCACTGGCCTATAAAATGTGAAGATAATGATAATTTGAATATATTTTAATTTGCAGCTATACAGCAATTTGAAACACTTTTAATATAAAATTAAGGCCAATGGCATTTCCCAGGGATAGTGGAAGCCTTTCATTAGAGTACAGACAATAAGGAGGCGCACTGTCTGTAGAGAAAGCAGAAAACAGTAGTGAAGCTGACCAACAGTTGCTTTGCATTTTGTTATCACCACAAGCAGGAAATTCTAGACAATGTCAATGACAAAAAATAGGAGACTCGACCACGCAGTGCAATATACAGACAATGTATCATAGAATTATACACTTGAAACCTATATAATCTTATTAACCACTGTCACTCCGATAAATTTAATAAATTTTTTAAAAATAAAGTAAATACTCCTCTCTGTTAAAGTGAAATGCTTCACTACCCTACCCCACCCCACAAATCCCACATCCCCGCACAGTACTAGAAAAAGGTAAAATATAAATTAGAAAATAAGGTCCTAGTAAGAAAATAAACTGTAAGTTAGAAAATTAACACTTTTTGTATAAAAGCAAAATATTTAAGAGCTAAAGAGATAAGTTTTGAAAATAAGGTTCTAAACCATACCAAAAGGGATAAAAACTCAGTGACACTATGAAAAGCTATAAGGAAGAATGAGAGAAGGTAAAAACCAGCTTGCCAAGAAGATCAAAGGTTCTAGATTATTCACAACTCATCATCAAACTGGAAGGACCCTTCAAAATGTGGTCTATATACCAGTATCGGAGTCTTGATCAATAACAAATTAGAATTAAAATAAACAACCACAACAAAAAAACTGGTCCTTCACCACAAATGGCTTGAGATGCTGATTAGACACCCTACTACTGAAGGCAGGAATCTCTCCTCTAACACCATGATGGATGAAAATTTGACTCCTACTTTAAAACTTCCCTAAAGGAAAAGTCATTTTCTACAACAGAGTGTGCTCTCTCCAGTTCCTTACCACTAATTTTTTCCCAGTACACCGCAATCTGGCTTCCACATACCTCTCTGTATTCTGTGAGTTCTGCTCTTGTTAAGATTGAAGATGTACTCAAGCCCAAGGGACATTTTCTAGTTATCTTCCTCCATGACATTCCTGGGCATGAACACTCTTGACCTCTCCTTCCTTCTTAAAGCTCTCTCTGTCCTTGAAACAGGGCGCCCCCCTGGTTTTTCTCCTACCTCTCTGATCATTTGCTGCCAGTGTCCTTCACTGAACTATTTCTCTCTGTTTCTCAGGGACTTTTTTCCTCAGTTCACTTCTATCATTGGTGAAGTGAAATTCTGATAGCATGGTAGCCAGGAGCCCAGGCTACTGAGCCAGATTTCCAGGTTCAAATCCTTACTCTACCACTTATTAACTCTGTGTTTTGGGGTGAGTAACTAAAGCTCTCTTTTCCTTAACTTTTCTCATCTGTAAAATGGAGGTAACAAATAGAACCTACATCCAGTGCTGCTATGAGGATTAAGTGAGCTAATAGTAAACTACTGAGAATGATATGTAGAATCTAGTAAGGACTCAATTATTATTGATATATTATTTTTCCTAGTGTCTACAAATGAAGATACATCATAGCCCAAGGCAATACTCCATAAAGCTGGCTGCCGATGACTCTTGAGGGGAAATTAGATCAAGATTTTGTAATCCATGTCGTCCCAGGATGGCAGTTCTTCTATGCTGTGGTTAAGTGTGGTTGACGGATCTGTAAGGATGGCATCAGAATTGACATACTTCTGTGAAGAACTTAGAGAATTTGTTCCTGAACAGAAGGCTAAACTCACAATCACCAGGAATGAGGCAAGGGAATAACTCTGAGCAAGGACAAGACTTCCTTCAAAAAGCAATTTAGGCTTCATTTTAATTCACTGATAAATGATCAATAAAGGTGACACAATTATATATCACAAAAGCAGGACTTCAGTCAGGTAGAAGGAAATGCTTACCTCAGCTAAAAATAATAGAACTTAGTAAAACACAATAGTGTTTTGAACAATTTACCTTTCTATTAAAACTTTCAAAATACATTACTTAATAAATGAAAGCCTATACATTTAATGAGGTTGTTTGAAGTACAGGAGTATTAATTATGAAGCAATTAAAGGCCAAAAACACCAACCACAATGGATGGCCTTGGTTTTTTAACAATTAGTCTAATGCCCTCATATCTGTAATTAATTAGAAAGCAGATCCAAGTATTTTTAAAAGTCACCTGTAGTTCATGATGCATACACATAGCTCATCCAAATGTGGTTTAAAATCAATAAGTCTCTAATTAACGATAAAAGAAGTCAAAACACATACATGTTTTAACCCTCTAGAGATTATTTGCTCTGTTAAAGGACCATTTCTCCTGACCATAACTTTTCTTTCCAGTATAGTCAGAAACAAAGGTGAGGGGGAGCAGAAAATACAAGAACTTTCTCCATAAAGAGGCCTAGAGCATACTAATATAGCTGAATGACTACTCTCAGAGTCTGCTTGTCTCTGGAAGGAGTGTGCACTGTGAATCCAAGCATCCAATACATCAGGACAGGGGACAAGATACATTTTAGATCAAATATTTGCCCAGCAAATGTGTCCCCAACTTGAAGAAATAGAGCCATACTAAAAAAATAATAATAAAATAATCAAACTACACTTCAGATCTAACCGAATAGTTTCATACATGATGCTCACAGTTATTAAAAAGACAAGTACATTTAAAATGTGAAGGTCTCTTCTCATGTGGATCTTAAACATTTATGGAAACATAAAATTGCCCTGGGCACTGTATTTGTTTTCATCTCATTAACTAACTCTATGATGCAGAGAAACATAGCTAGGACCCAGCCAGACAGTGATCTGAGTTTGATGGAGTTTAAGGCAATTGGCCCTGGCTTGTCAGCCTAGGGAAACATTAGCCTCCCAGCTGTCCACTGAGGTCTGAGCTATAACAGACTCATTCGTGCCTTACAGAATTATACCTTCAATAATTCAGTGTTCTGGCATCTAGCTTCACCACTGAGGTCAACCAGGCTCATCACAGGGATCAGGAAGCTGTTCAGGGTCATGATATAACTTGGGAGAGAATAAACCTAAACTAAGGCAATGGCAGAAGACACAGAATGAAAGGGAGACATATGAGAAAAAATGAGAAATAAAACTGATGGGATTAGATGAAGGAGGAGAGGAAGAGAAAGTCATGGTTGACTCTGATTTTTTTACTCGGGTCACTTTATGGAAGATGACATCTTGAATTGAGAGAGGGCTCATGTGAAGAGCCCTGGACTGGTGGTAGAGGGTATAGAAATTCTGTTTTGGCCCTACTGCACTTGTAAAATATACAGTTTAGCAACTGGAGAGAAATATGGGTCAGGAGCTCAGAAGAAAGGCGAAGGCTGATATGCAGTCTAAACCATGGGTATAGACAGGCTTTCTGAGTAAAGAAATCTAGGGAGATGAGGAAGGAATATGCTTCCACGCCCTTAAGAGCTTACAACCTAATTGGAGTGAAGAGATAAAGAATCAACACAGAGAGTCAACTGTGGAGAAATACAAAAGAACATTGAATCTGTATAGAAAAAATTGTACACAAAGCAGTACGGAGTCAAGATCTCATTTTAAATCCATAACCACAAACCTCAAATCAGAACTTAATGTTGTCTGAAAACTATGTACAGAGCCAGGTGGGAGGATTGCTTTGCAAATGATATAAATGTCTAACCACTATGAGGTACCCCTAAAACTAATATAAAATATTGATTGTCAACTGTAATTGAAAAAAAATTTAAAGAAAAAAAATAAAGAATTGTGCACTGAAAGACACAAAAAGAGAACTTAATGTTTTCTGCTACAATCCCTAGTATGTTCATCCTGCCACTTTCTAACACAGCTTTTCACATTTTCTCTTTTCTCCTCAAAATTCCTAGCCTTCCTGTTCTTCTTTTTAATGGTCCACCCTCAACTGATAACTGATACTCATATCCCATGGAGAAAATATAATGAATAGGAATGCCTACTATTAATATCTACCAAACTGTATTCAGCTGTGCCCTGACCCTCTGCCTTCCCTCATGACATAATGCATAGTGCGTCCTGCTCCAAGCAAAGGCCACCCTGCAATTTCCAAACTCTAATCGCATCAAATTCTCAAAGATTTTGATCCTAACTCTCCCTGCCACTCTCTCCTGCATCACCAATTTCTCCCTTTCTACTAGACCCTTCTCATTAGCATAGGAGCATGAATCAATTAGCCCTCATCTGAAAAACAGAAACAAGAAAAAACACTTAAGCCACTCTAGCTATTGCCCCCATTTCACTGCCTCTCTTCATGGAAGAGTGTCTTGACCCAGTGGAACTGTCCCTAATTCTTCACCTCCCATTTTCTCCACAATGCTTTCCACTCAAGCCTCTGCTCCACTGCTGTTCCAACAATGTTCTTGCCAAAGTCGTCAATGACCTCTTCCATTCTCCTCTTCCTTGACATCTCAGCAGCATTTGACACAGGACACTTTTCCCTTCTTAAAGCACTGATTCAAGAGAGAGAGTGATGTGCTGCTCTCCTGCTTCTCTTGCCATCCTGCTGGATGCCCCCTTCTCAGTCTACTTTCTGGCTTCTCTCTGCTTCACTTCTAAACATTGATGCTACCTAAGGCTTATTTCTTAAACTTCTCTCTCCATCTATACTGTCTACCTGGGTAATCTTATATAGTCCCACAGATATGCTAATACTGATATAATAATGCCTACAAGAGATTGTATTAAGCATGTATTGCTACAAGTATTTTCTTATTTATTTTCTATTTCTTCCTCCAATAAAATGTAAGCTACATCATAAAAGAATTCCTTCTTACCCTGTTCTACTCTGTATCCTCAATGCCTAGCACATGGCAAGTACATCATAAATATGTGGAGATTGAAAGAATGAAGAGCAAAGTGGAAACAGGAAATATTTGCTGAATTTTTCCAGCAAAGTATAAACAAGAACCATAGCTTCTTTAC